TTTCAGATGTCAAAAAAAAAGAAGGCAAACAATAGATCTCTAATATTTTCACCAATTCAATCCATCTTCCTCTGAAATTGTTAAGCAAACAATCAACTACATGAAAATCCGCCGATCATTATACTAAAAAATAAAAAAGGTATTTATACGTATCTTACCAAATCCAAAGGACTAAGAAAGAATTATAGTAGAGAGACACCAGTACATGGATCGGTCCATTATTGCGGATACGGATCGGAGGATGTGACCACTGGAAAGGATGGGTCGCCGGGAGAGATTGGAAGTTGATAGCCATCGGCTCGGCTGGAAACTGAAAGTTGTTAGACAAACGTATACGTTTTTGTAAGTTGATGATAGCCATTCGGAGCCTAAGGGAAACCAAAAGAGCGAAGAAATATATGAAATGAAACTTATCAAGAGGAGAGGAGAGGAGAGGAGGCTGTTTTACAAAAGAATATTGTATTAGGTTAGAGGTGAGAATGACGGGTCAAAATCTTGTTTAAATATTATTAACGATCGGGTCAACAAAAAATAAGAGACAAATTTTATTCTTCTTTTTACGGCCTTACCAAAAAAAAAGAGATTTTACTGTTTATCAAATTTTATTCCATTTTCCTTTTTTATCACCGTTATTTTTATTCATTTTCTTTAATCATTTTATTCATAAAATTGTTAACTCTATAAAATTAGATTATATCTTTTTTTTTTGTTTGGTCACGTAAATTAGATTATATCTTCTTGCCGACAAATAACGTCAGTGGGTAAATGGCTCGTCACCTGACCACATGTACTTTATAATTGTATTTTATTTTATTAGTTTGATTATGGTGCTGTGCGATTTTCAATTAAATTTGAAACCCAACTTTTTACGTTATTTTAACTAGATGCGGAGTTTTTTTTTTTTATAATTTTATTAAATTTAATAAGGAAAATAATTTTAGTTAATTTAGTATTTTTTATATTTACAATTAACAAAATTTTTTTTATAGATATAAGATAATCTTTCATTTGAATTCAAATGAAATTAATTATTTCTTTTATTTGTATTGTATAAAAATATGGAGTAATGCTCAATCATTTAAATAGAGATAGTTCCTAATTGAAAATTAATATGTTTGTTTAAGACTTTGTTATCTATCTATATAATTTTTTGTAGTTTTGTAGTTAACCAATGGATT